AAAAACTACAGAAACATTAATGAAAGAAATTGAGAAAGACACAAAGACATGGAAAAACATCCCATGCTCATTGATTGGAAGAACAAATATTGTTAAAATGTCTATGCTACCCAGAGCAATATCTACACTTTCAATGGAATCTCTATGAAAATACCATCAAAATAGGCTGGGTCCTGGGATATAGCCCCACATCAGGCTCCCTGCTCAGTGGGGAGCCTGATTCTCCTTCTCCCTCTGCCACTCCTGCTCTCTCTGTGTCAAATAAATAAATAAATAATTTTTAAGGCTATTTTGTTTAATATAAGTATTGCTATCCTGGCTTTCTTTTGACATCCATTTGCATGATAAATGTTTCTCTATCTCCTCACTTTCAATCTGCATGTATCTTAGGTCTGAAATCAGTGTCTTGTAAGCAGCATATAGATGGGTGGTGGGGTTTTTTTTGTCCACTTTGTCATCCTAAGTCTTTTCATTGGAGAGTTTAGTCCATTTACATTCAACGGAATTATTGATATATATGCATCGATTGCCACTTTGATAGTTGTTTTGTGTTTTTATCTATATATTTTCTCTGATCCTTTCTTCTCTTTCTCTCCTGTTTTGTTGGCTTTCTTTAGTGATATACTTGGATTCCTTTCTCTTTATTTTTTGCATAGCTATTGATGGTTTTTGATTTGTGGTTAACATTAGGTTTGTATATAACATCTTCTAAATATATCAGTCTATATTAAGTCTATATTAAGTTGATGGTTGCTTAAGTTCAAACCCATTTTTACTCTTCTCCTCCCCATGTTTTAGGTATATGGTGTCATATACTACATCCTTTTGTATTTCTTTGCATACTCTCACTTATGGTCTTTCTTTTCCACTCAGAGTCTCCCTTAATATTTCTTGTAGGACTGGTTTAGTGGTCATGAACTCCTTTTGCTTTTGTTCATCTGAGAAACTCTTTATCTCTCCTACTATTCTGAATGATAGTCTTTCTGGATAGAATATTATTGGCTGCAGATTTTTTCCTTTCAGCACTTTGAATATATCATGCCTTTCCCTAATGGCCGGCAAAGTTCCTGCTGAAAAATCCCCTGAGAGTCTTATGGGGTTTCCCTTGTATGTAACTATCTTCTTTTCTCTTGCTGCTTTTAATTTTTTTTTCTTTATCACTACTTTTTCCATTTTAATTAATATGTGCCTTGTTGTGGACCTCCTTGGGTTGAATTTTGGGGGGAATCTCTGTGCCTCCTGGTTTTGGATATCTGTTCCTTCCTCAGATTAGGGAAGCTTTCAGCTATTATTTCTTCAAATAAATTTTCTGCCCCCTTTTCTCTCTCTTCATCTTCTGAGATCCCTATATAATGCAAATGTTATGCTTGATGGAGTTGCAGAGTTGCAATCTTCCCAGAGATTAGGGAAGACTAATCTCAATTTGTATAATTTTCTTTACTCTCCTTTGCCTGTTGTGGTTGCTTTCCACTAGTCTGTCTTTCAGTTCATTAATTTGTTCATCTGCTTCATGTAGCCTGCTATTTTTTCCATTGTGTATAGTTTTAATTTCATTTGTTGTGTTCTTGATCCCTGATTGGTTCTTTTTTATCTTTGTGTTAAGGATCTCACTGATGCTTTCTACTCTTTTCTCAAGCCTAGTGAGTATTTTTATGATTATTACTTTAAATTCTCCATCAGGCATATTATTTATATCTGGTTTGCTTAGGTTTCTTGCTGTGGTTTGGTCGTGCTCCATTCATTTGGGATTTATTTCTGTGTCTCTTCATTTTGTCTAACTCTCTGTGTCTGTTTCTCTGTGTTAGGAAAGTTAGCTACTTCTCTTGCTCTTAACAATAATAGCCTTATAAAGAAGAGATCCCTGCATTGCAGTTTGCCCTATCCCCCAAGGCCTGGTGCCTCAGGGAGTGTCTCCTACATGCGTTGCATGTGTTCTGCTCTTGAGTCTTGGCTTCTTTTTCCTTCAGTCCAGTTGTTTGCAGAGATCCTCTTTGGCTATTATGGCAGTGTTTTGTCCCCAAAAGGGGTGAGGTGTGTTTTAACAAGGTGTGCAGTGGTTTGCTTGTGAAAAGAGACTTGCCTGCACTGTAGTGGGAACTGAGGTCCAGCAAAACTGCTTGTTCCATGCAGTATCTGTGTGGGCTGTTTGTTGTGCTGTTTAAGGCCAAAGGCTCAGCTTCCTACCTCCAGACTCTACCAAAGCCAGAGCCCACTGATTTTTAAAATTCCACACTTTAAGTACTGCTGGTAGTAAGAGTTCATGAAATTCAGCCCCTCTTGATTTCAAAGGCAAATATTATGGAGATTTGTCCTCCTTTTCATGGCCTCCCCAGTGTGAAATCTGTTTTTTCCCTTTCTTCATGCTACCAGCCCCCTCTCCATTGTGGCCAGCCATGGCCCATTTCATTCCCAAACCATGTCTTCACACGTCTTACCTTCTTTCATATGGTTTCTTCTTTAATTGTGGAGTTTGTTCTGCCAATCTTTGGATCATTTTCTGGGTTATTTACACTGACGGGAGTGTTATTTAGTTGTTTTTGTGGGATAAGCCAAGCTTAGGCTCCTCCTACTTTGCCATGGTCCCCCAAGGTTACATGCAGGCAGTCCATTGGGGAGCAAGATTGGAATCTAGGTCTCTGAATACTTACCCAGTGCCCTTTTCCACCCTAAACGTTTTTCTTTTCTTTCTTTCTTTCTTTTTTTTTTTTTTTTACTGCATTGGCAGTATACTTAAAATGTGAACAAAGTGGTGGAAACTGTTAGTTTTGCTTTATTCCTGAGAGGGGATTCCAGATTGGAAAAATACTATAATACTGTTTTCCTTGATAACATAAAGAGAAAACATTCATTCACTACTAAGTAAAAGGTTAGCTGGAGAATTTTGTAAAATATTTCTTATTAAAATGAAGAAGTTACTTTCTATTCCTAGTTTTCTGAAAATTGTTTTCATTACAGGTGTTGAATTTTGTCAAGTGCATTTATTTGGTATCTTTTGTGATGATCACATGATATCTTTATTTTGATATGGTATATGACATTAATTGATTTTTGAATATTGAAACATTTAATTCCTACAGTAACCTCACTTTGTCATGGTGTATAATCTTTTTATATGTTGCATCTATGTTCATGAGAAATAACAGTCTAGTTTCCTTTTCTTGTGATATTTTTATCTGGCTATGGCATAAGTTAATGCTACCCTTAGCTGGGAAATAGTTCTGTTTTCTGTCATGACATAAACAAATATTATCCTGAAATTGCACAATATGCATTGTATATTTAAGGTACATCCATCCTTAATCTAGTGAAATTTAACTCAAACTCTCTTCTAGTCAATAGTCTCTTAACTGGTTTCTTGCTTGCATTCTTGTTCTCTTACAATTTATACCTCATCATATCACGATCTTCTTTAATATATTCTCATGGCTTGTTATCCTACTTATAACAATATCCCAATTCTTTATGTGCCCTAGAGCACACCATGTGACTAAGTTTCTGCCTAACTCTCTGGTCTCCTTCAAAATGATCTTTACCTTGCTCATTCTGCTCCAGTCATTCTATGTTTCTTGCTTTTCCTCAAATATGCCAACTTTATTCCTACCTCAATGGCTTTGTACTCACTGTTCTGTCTCTCTTGTTAATCACCCTATTTCAAAGTCCCTAATTAAATACCTGAAACATTTTTCAATAAATATTTGTTGAATGCAGGAATGAATTGCATTATATTGTGAAGATTATTATGAAAGAAAATACAAGGAGCTATGAGAGAATGGGGGGAGTTCTTCATATTAAATGCTCAAAGGAATCTCTTGGATAAAATGGCATTTAATATGAAGGAGTCATTCTAGCAAATAATAGAAGGATGACTCTTCCAGACAGAGCTAATAGCAAACACAAATGCCCTTAGATAAGGAAAACTTGAGGAACTTGAGAGAATTTAATAAAATCATTGATCATTATTGGAGCATAAGAAATAAAAGAAAGTGGAATGAAGTGAGATTAGAAAGGAGAGTATAAAAAATCATTTAACTTCTTGCAGATCAGTTTAAGAGTGTGAATATTATCTGAGTACTTAAGAAGTCTATGGAAAGGTTTTGAAAGTAGACTGGATAAGAAGTCTTTCTCTTTAGAAGTGAAGGAATGTGCTGCAAAAATAGCCTCCAGGAGCTGCATTGGTGGTCTTGAACCTCTCCTTGCTTTCCCTTTACCCTATGACTATATCTGTCCTTGAAAGAATTTGTGAATCTTGACACTGGATAAGGATGTGAGACTAATATGACAGTCCAGTAACTGATATATCTGAAAGTTCCATGAAAAAGATAAAGCAAACATTTAGCAATGGAATAGAGGAATTGACACTGGGTGGGGGAGTGGCTGAGAAAGAATAACCAGAGAATCAGGAGAAAAATTTTCCAAACATTATAGAGCTAAGAAAAAAAGGTGTTGTTGTTGTTTTTTAAAATGCATCTTTTACTTGGAAATATTTTTAGATTTACAGAAATTTTGCTAAGATAGTACAGAGAATTCCCATATACCCTTCACTCAGCTTTAGTTTCCCCTAATGTTATCATCTTGCATTATTCTGGTACATTTGTCAAGACTAAGAAATGGATGTTACTATCAAAAACAATTCAGACTCTATTCAGATTTCACCACTTTTTCCACTAATGACCTTTTTGTGTTCAAAGATCTGACGCAGGAGACCACATTCCATTTAGTTCTCATGTTTTCTTAGTCTCTTCTGGTCCATAATGCTTTCTCAGAGTTTCCTTATTGCTCATGATTTTTACGTGAGCAACAGATAATCATAGATTATGTTATTTTTTAATCCTTTGTATGAAAGAGATTTCTGTAAAATAAAAAGTAGACCCAAGAGAAAAAGACTCATTATTTGCAATAAAATTTATAGCTAACATGCTTACAACATCTGTGCTAATGTCAAATCTAAGTAGATGATGTGGTCCTTCTTCACTTAGCCCTGCTCAGTCTGTATTGGGCCTTTAAAAAATTTTGTCTTCACATTCACAGGAAGATTTGCAATTTGTCTTGACAAAATTATGGCTACAGGTATATTTTTTCTTCAAAGCATTACAGTTAGAATAACCATCTTCATAGTCACAACTATTGGCTGGAATAAAAACAAAGAAATTAGTCAGTTCATTATCGTTTTCCTCCATAGCAGCAGTGCAAACAATAAATTCAATGTAAGTGGGGAGAAGACAATTGAGCAAAGAAGTTGGTATCACATTATGATACAAAGCGACACATTAATCCATCATTTCTTTTAAAATTTGAGCTTTTTGGAATGTTTCTAAAGTGAATTGACCTATTTTCTTCCATCAGAAAATAAAATAAGCTTAAATGAGTCTCTCTACAATTACAGTGTCCAAATTTTAGCCTCTAGCCATGTGATTGTTTAAATTTAAACTTAAATTAATTAAAATTACATAACATTCAAAAATAAATTTTCAGGTCATCGGTGGTACTTGTTACATTCCAAATGCTCAATAACCAGTCTATCTAGGAGCTACTTTACAGGACAGTGCAAATATTGAACATTTCCATTATTGAAAAAATTTATATTAGACACTATTGCTCTATCCAGATTCTAGTGCCACTAGTTTTTCTTTCAAGAGTAAGAAATCATTATGAGAAGATGTGGATGTAAAAACAAAAGGGAATTGCACTATGATTATCAGACATTTCTACTCTGAATTTCCTCAGTGGCCACAAACTCAATAACTCTCAAACTAAATTCATCATTTTACCTCCAAGTGTGGCATTTCTTTGGAGTCACTCCCCAACTCCCAACTCAATTCCCCCAGGATAAGAGAAATTAAACTCCTAACTACTAAATAATTCAAATCAGGAACTGGGAATCAACATGAACTCATTGCTCTCTGCTTTTTATCAGCATTTACCAAGTGCAAGTAACAAACACTGGCTTTACTACTTCCTACCTATTGCTCCTTACTGTCCATTTCTCTTCATTCATTTTGTCAGAATTCAGTAAAAACATTCATTTGTTTTTCGAACCCATGTTTTCAACAGTCTCCAAGCTGGCTTGCATCCACTTGTTTCTCCACACTACTGCCAGATCTTTATAAAACAATTCTGATCTCATCACTCGTCTGTGTAAAAATCTTTCAATTGGTTGCTTATTGCTAACAGGGTAAATTCCAAATCCCTTAACAAATAGTATTCAGCAGGGGAGAAAATATTTTTTTCTTTAATGGTTGTGTAGCTTTGCTATCATTCAATATTCTGAATTAGAGCTATACAATTCACTCAGAAAGAATGGTACAGTTCAATCTAGTGAATGCATTTGGAAAGGTAAAAATTTTTGTTAGTGGTTAGTTGTTTTGTTCATAATAATTTTAATAACATGTCGCAACTAAACAAAAGTACCAACTCTTTGTATTTATATCCATAACAATACCAAACATGAGATATTATATGACACTAAATTTAATCCTTTTCCTAAAATATTTTGAGACTTCTGTGAGCTAATAATGTTATATGCAGATTTGATTGACATTTTAAAAGTATGTAAAAATTACTAGCAAACACAAGTGTGAGTGGTTATTAAATTAAATTTGATTATTCTAAACATACTATGGAGAAAATGAAGAATTTACTATGATGAACTCATTGATATATAAAGATTGTTTGGTGTCTGAACTGAACTGTGTCTGTGTTCTCACACTTTTATATTTTGTACATATTTTCTCTTTATAAAATGCCACTTTTGATGTAATTGCATTAACTTCAATAGGAAAAGTATTTAATTACAATGAATTATTTCCACAGAAACATTTTTATATATGCCAATATGTAACAAGTCCATATACATTGATGGTAGATGTTTCTTTAGGTTACACATGGTAATGGGGTTTTCACTGCAAATAATACATAGATACTGTGTAAAATTTTTTATCAAACACACTCTATTGAATACTTTTATTTTTGTCTTTTGCATGAAGGCATTGCTTAAGTTGGTTACAATCAGAAGATTTCCTGATTCTTAAAAAAAAAAAAGGAGTCTATGGCTTTTATGAAATTGAGGTATGTTCCCTTTATCTTACACTGCAGAGAGTTTTTATCAAGAAATGATGCTGTATTTTGTCAAATGCTTTTTCTGCATCTACTGAGAGGATCATATAGTTTTTAACCTTTCTTTCATTAATGTGGCATATCACATTGATTGATGTGCTGATGTTGAACCACCCTTGCAGCCAAGGAATAAATCCCACTTGGTAGTGGTGAATAATCCTTTTAATGTACTGTTGGATGCTATTAGCTAGTGCCTTGGTGAGAATTTTGCATCCATGTTCTTCAGACGATGCTCTATGTAGAAAACCCAAAAGACGCCACCAAAAAATTGTTAGAACTGATACAGGAATTCAGCAAAGTGGCAGGATATAAAATCAGTGCACAGAAACCAGCCCTATTTCTAAACACTAACAATGAGTCAGAAGAAAGAGAAATCAAGGAATTCATCCCATTTACAATTGGACCAAAAAAATCATAAGACATCTAGGAATAAACCTAACCAAAAAGAGAAAACTCTGTACTCTGAAAACTATAGAACACTTATGAAAGAAATTGAGGAAGACACAAAGACATGGAAAAACATTCCATGCACATAGATTGGAAGAACAAATATTGTTAAAATATCTATACTACCCAAAGCAATCTACACTTTCAATGCAATCCCTATCAAAGTGCCATCAACATTGTTCACAGACCTGGAACAAATAAATCCTAAAATTTTTATGGAGCCAGAAAAGACTCCAAATAGCCAAAAGAACGTTGAAAAAGAAAAGCAAAGCTGGTGGCATCACAGTGCCAAACTTCAAGCTTTATTACAAAGCTGTACTCTTCAAGACAGTATGGTACTGGCACAAAAACAGACACATAGATCAGTGGAACAGAATAGAGACCCCAGAAATGGACCCTCAACTCTATGGTCAACTAATCTTTGACAAAGCAGAAAAGAATACCCAATGGAAAAAAGACAGTCTCTTCAAAAAATGATGTTGGGAAAATTTGATATCCACATGCAGAAGAATGAAACTGGACCACTCTTCTACCACATACACAAAAAATAAACTCGAAATGGATGGAAGACCTCAATGTGAGACAGTAATCCATCAAAATCCTAGAGCAGAACATAGGCAACAATCTCTTCGACCTCGGCCACAGCAACTTCCTGCTAAACACATCTCCAAGGCCAAAAGAAACAAAAGCAAAAATGAAATACTGGGACTTCATCAAGATCAAAAGCTTTTGCACAGCAAAGGAAACAGTCAACAAAACCAAAAGGCAACCTATGGAATGGGAGAAGATATTTGCAAATGTCTTATCAGGTAAAGGGCCAGTATCAAAATCTATAAGGAACTTACCAAACTCAACACCTCAAAACCAAAAATCCAGTCAAGAAATGGGCAGAACACATGAACAAACATTTCTCCAAAGAAGACATAGAAATGGCCAACAGACATATGAAAAAAATGTTCCATATCACTTGGCATCAGGGAAACACAAATCAAAACTACAATGAGATACCACCTCACACAGGTCAGAATGGCTAGAATGAATAACTCAGGAAACAGCAGATGTTGGTGAGGATGCAGAGAAAAGGGAACCTTCTTACACTGTTGGTGGGAATGCAAACTGGTACAGTCACTCCGGAAAACAATATGGAGATTCCTCAAAAAGTTAAAAAGAGAGCTATCCTATGACCTAACAATTACACTGCTAGGTATTTATCCAAAGGATACAAACATATTGATTCAATGGGGCACATGCACCCCAATGTTTATAGCAGCAATATCCACAATAGCCAAAATATGTAAAGAGCCCAGATGTCCCTCGACAGATGAACTAATAAAGAAGATATATATATATATATATATATATATACGCACACACACACACACACACACACACACACTACTCGGCCACCAAAAAGAATGAAATCTTGCCATTGCAACAACATGGTTGGAACCAGAGGGTATTAGGCTAAGTGAGATAAGCCAGTCAGAGAAAGACAAACACCATATGATTTCACTCATACAGAATTTAAGAAACAAAACAGAAGAACATAGGGGAAAAGAAGGAAAAATGAAATAAGTTGAAAACAGAGAGGGAGGCAAACCATAAGAGATGCTGAACTCTAGGAAACAAACTGGGGGTTGCTGGAGGGTAGGTGGGTAGGGGGATGGGGTAACCGGGTGATGGGCATTAAGGAGGGCACTTGATGGAACGAGCACTGGGTGTTATATGCAACTGATGAATTGCTAAATTCTACCCCTGAAGCTAATAATGAAATATATGTTAATTAAATTGAATTTAAATAAATAATTTTTAAAAATAAAAGATACTCATAAAGGAAAAAAAAAGCCAGATCATTCTATTATATATACTAGCAAATTAACGACTTCAAACTTACTGCATAGTCCATCGTCACAGTGATGAAGGCAGCTGGCACAAGGTTCTCCTTTTAGGTAAGGGGTATGAATCTTGCTAAGCAGATTGCCACTGAAATTTGAAAAACAAAATGTCAAACATTTTTCATTTTTCAGTTTAGTTTATGCTCCCAGGGTAGCATCTATCACCATATATACCTGAATATTTGGTAAATGTTTTTCATCATGTCAAATAACTGAAAAACTAAAATTCCCAAAATGTACTCAGATATCAATGTAAAGAAAATAACATACACATGCACTCAATTCCTTGACCATAATTTCACAGCCTGAACAATTGAAATGGGATTAATAGGGTCTAAAATATTCAGAATACATTTCAACATGACAACATTCTTTCTCCCCCAAAAGACTTGGTCAAATTGCTAAAGTAGTATACTCTAAGGTGCTGGTTAGTGATAAAACATATCCCTTAGAGAGACTGTACAAGTTACCGGGAGACAAAGGGTTGCAGTATGGAAATGCTTAAAGTTACATATAATTTTATATCTCCCTCTCTCAAATAAATAAATAAGACCTTAAAAAAAAGATGGAAGTAATGATTTTTAAAGTAGTTTTTGGTGTATATTTTTGGGAGTAGGGGTGCTTAAAAGGTTTTTGAATGTCTAGAGGCTTTGTGTGTGAGATTTTAATATTTACAAAATGGGAATGTTAAAAAAAAGTTTTATTAACACTAATCGCTAAGGTATACTGGTCTTACAGTAACTAGCCTACATCTCATTGATGAATATTATTCAAGAGGGTCAAAGTCTCAATTGTACCAAGTGGGCCAAAACACAATACCATGCATCTGAATCTCACTCCCTGCACAGAATATAACTGACCATGTGTGAGCCCCTGGAAAAATGTGAAATAGCCACAAACATGTTCTGGAAGTTTTCTTGCCCCTGCTTTCCCTCATTTTTCACTCCAAACTCTCACTTCAGATGCCTGGCTCCAGAACCTCCCCTCTTACAGCCAGCCAGTGAGTTTGGATGCATTCTCCTAGGACCTTTCAATTCTTTCTACTAAACCCTAAGAAGTGCTTGCAGGAAAATGACATTGGAGGTCATACTTCTCACCCTGGAGATCCATACGCTCAGGTTATCTACAATCTCAAAATAAATCCTCTAGGAGCCTTGGTTCTAGGGGTCCCCCTGTCTCCAGGGGCAAGAAACTTCACACATTAAAAGAAAGTAAGGTTAACAGATAAGTTGAGATTAGATCTTCAATATATCCACAGAATTTATTGTAGGTAAGTTCAAACATAATCCTTGATGAAAGAACATTTTCCTGCTACTGGTCAAGACCTTAAAGGATGGTTCATTATGGAGATTTTGTGAAAACTTCTGAAAAGCAAAGACTGAAGATGTGGTTCTTTTCTGGATTCTGAAGTACATTGAAGATCTCTTGAAAAAAACGTTGAGATGCAAAAGAATGAATCATCTGTGATGGTAATAATGTAGGTGGTGTTTTAGATAAGCAGGGCAAGGAACCTGTTAGCAGGAAGAGCTGAAATCAAGTCTGCCATCCCCTACTTTCCACTCCATTATCTTCTCTTGCTTAACCATCAAGCTGCTACCCTCCTAAAGTGTGAAGTTGATGAGAACTGATGATATCAGATCTAGAGAAATGCACACTGCCCAGGCTCATGGAATAGCTGTGAGCCCAAGGGAAAGGTGACTGAGAGAAAAAATGTCATGCTGTAACTGAGGAAAGAGAGTTTCAGATTTTATACTTGGATTTGAGAAGTTGGTCTCTTCCCTGATAAGTTGAATGTATCTCAACTTAAAAGGCATTTCCAAAGATTTATTCCTTCTGGATGGACCTAGAGTATATTATGCTAAGTGAAACAAGTTAGATAGAGACAGTTAAAGATACCATATGATTTCACTTATATAGGGATTCTAAAAAACAACAACAAAAAAATAAAAAGCAGAAACAGACCATAAGTACAAGAACAAAGTGATGTTTGCCAGAGGGGTGGCAATGGGGGTTGGGTAAAATATTTGAAGGGGAGTGGGAGGTACAGGTTTCCTGTCATGGAATAAATAAGTCATGGGGATAAAAAGTACAACATCGGGACTATAGTCAATAGTATTGTAATAGTTATAATAGCATGGGATGCCTGGGTGGCTCATGCAGTTAAGCGTCTGCATTTGGCTCAGGTCATGATCCCAGGGTTCTGGGATTGAGTCCCACATCAGGCTCCCTGCTCAGTGGGGAGCCTGCTTCTCCCTCTGCCTGCCGCTCTTCCTGCTTGTGCTTTCTGACAAATAAATAAATAAAAATCTTAAAAAAAATAAAAAAATAGTTATAATAGCATTCTATGGTGACTGCTGATAGCTACACATGTGGTGAACATAGCACAAGGTATAGACCTGTCACTATGTCATGCACATAAAACTAAGGTGACATTGTGTATGAACTATGCATCAATTTTAAAAAATGAAAAAAGGATTTATTCCTTCCCTTTACTGAAATATGTTTTATATTCTAGTTTGTTTACTATACAAGAATTTTAAAAATATTAATTTGTACATAGGATTATTGCATGAAACTCTAAAGTATATACTTACGCAGGACAATATTGGCAAACATAGTAGTATTTTAGACTTTCTTGATTGGGGCAATAGGCAATTCCACATCCAACGTGGTAAGAAGAGTACCAAACAACCTACACTTCCAAAAAGGAATATATGAGAGTACATTAAAGAAGAGGGAAAATATTGAAAAAATAGTAATAGCAAATGTAACACTGAAAAAATGTTACTATTATGGTTTGTAGCCAAGTACCTTTTGAAAACATTTAGTTCAATTATTGAAGCAAATCACAAATTTTAAAATATTAAATCTTAAGGTACCTTCACTATTTTATCCATTTCTAAGTTTGAAAAACTACAGAGTATACTTCTTTACCAAGAGTTTTTCAAATGATGGGAAAAAATGACAGCTCTAGATGAAGTACCACCCAATGCCAGGACTATTACATCTATTCAGGCTCTTACTCAAATTGAACATTGGACTTGGCCATAAGTTAGAGATGCTTTCATATTAGAGCATTTGTAGTAGCAGTATTTTCATTTGTTTGTCTTACCTGGGTGTAATGTCCAACAACTGCACCAGGACTCTTAGGTCCCACACCATAGACAAAATTATGGTGCTCCTCATACCAGTTTTGGATTGCATCTGACCAGGAAGCAGGGTAACTTGACATAAAGAGATTCTCACCACATTTTGTACCTAAATAGAAATGAATCATCCTTGAGGAAGCAATAAAACATGCAATGGCAAAAGAAATCAACTGTATGGCTTCACTCGTATGTAGAACATAAGGAATAGCACAGAGGACATTAGGGGAAGGAAGGGAAAACTGAAAGAGGGGAATCAGAGGGGGAGATGAACCATAAGAGACTATGGACTCCAGGAAACAATCTGACGGTTTCAGAGGGGAGGGGGGTCAGGGGATGGGGTCGCCTGGTGATGGGTATTAAGGAGGGCACATGTTGCAACGAGCACTGGGTGTTATATGCAAATAATGACTCATGGAACACTACATCAAAAACTAATGATGTTTGTATGGTGACTAACATAACATAAAAAAAAAAGAAATCAACTATATGAACACAAGGATGCTGACCTTCAAACACAGTGCCTATACTTATAACTGTTAATACATAATAAAAGGGCTTCTGTCTTTCTCAGCTCTAAAGCTGAATAGAAGACAGATCTGTCAAGGGACACCAAGGCTGCTTAGTGGGTTAAGAGGCTAACTTTTGATTTCAGCTAGGTCATGGTCTCAGGGTCCTGAGATCAAGCCCTGGATCAGGCTCCTCACTCAGAAGGGAGTCGCTTGAGGATTCTCTCTCTCTCTTTCTCTCTCCCTCTACCCCTCCTCCGGCTCACACTCTATTTCTCTCTCTAAAATAAATAAATCTTTCTTTTAAAGATTTTATTTATTTATTTCTGAGAAAGAGAGCCCAAGCAGGGGGAACAGCAGGCAGACGGAGAAGCAGTTTCCCCCCACAGCCAGGAGCCAGATGCTGGATTCGATCCCAGGACCCTGGGATCATGACCTGAGCCAAAGGCAGACCCTTAACCAAATGAGCTACCCAGGCATCACAAAAATAAATAAATCTTAAAAAAAAAAATCAGTCTAGGACATGGAGGTCGGCATCAACATGCAAAACTTTGAATAGGTTAAGAAGACCTTGTTATTCAAAAATCCTCTGGAGTTTCAGAGATGCATTCTTTTTCAAGCTAAGTTCTTCACATTGTAATGACTCCTATGCTCTCAGCATTGTACTGTAAATTTGCAAAAGGCAGTGACCAACTTTTATTCTTTTTCTCCTCCTCTTGTCCACCCTCACCAGAGATTTTTCACATATTGAACCCTGTCTAAATGTTTATGATTATGATTTTGTGTGAACTTGGAAAAAGAGTTCTAGAGGCAGTCTATAAGAGCCCCAACTAACAGGCAACTGACATCAGGAGGGATGGCAGATTTCAAAGATTTTGGATTCTCTCTTAATCACTAAATCAGAATGTCATAAGGCCAAATCTTCCTCCTTTAGATTTAGGCAAGAAGAGCCTTGCCCAAGGTGACATCAACAAGACGGTGGAGTAGGGAGCCCTGGACTCTCCTTCCCCTAACAAACACACTGATCCAGCAACAATTTCCAAAAAATTGCCTTGGTGGGAAATCCAAAACTCTGACAGTCAGGCACAGGCTAGCCATCTGTAGGATAATGGAGATGGTGGCTTGAGCTGATAGATACCATATCTCCTCCCCTTGGGTCAGCACAGAGCAAGCAAATGAAAAATCTTAGTTCTCAGCTTCCTCCTGGGAAAGCAAAGAGTTGATCAGTGTGTCCAATGCTCCAATTTCTCCAGGGCTCCCTAAAGAACTCACTTCTGTCTTTCTTGTCTTGAAGCTCTGATGGGTTTGGCATAGTTACACTGTTACTTCATGGGGGAGAACAGAGATGGTGGTTTGGATTGGTAGATGCCATGGCTCATTTCACCAGCTCAGCACAGAGCAAGCAAGCAAATACCATAGCTGCCTGTTTCTCCCTGCAGTGGGAAAAAGTTGGCCTGGGCATCCAGTGCCACAGATTTTCCAGATGCTGCCCAGAGGATTGACTTCTGACTTGCCTCTCTGACAATGTTAACAGATCTCTAGCATAACCAAGATGTGGAGCTGATGAGGATAGAGATTTGGGTTCATAGTTGCCATAGCTTCCCTTCCTAGTTCAGCACAGAGTGAGCAGATAAAAAACCTGAGCTTCTAGCCTCTTCCTGAGTAGGGAAAGAGTTGGATGGAATGCCCAAAGATCTATCTCTTTCAGGAGGCTGCCTGAGGAACTGACTACAGATCTTTTCTGACCATGATTTGATTGGACATTCTCCAAAGATGCACAAATGGCCAACAGGTATGTGAAAAGGTGCTCAATGTTGCTAATCACAGGGAAATGCAAATCAAAACTACAGTGAGATATCACCTTATACCTGTCAGGATGTCTATTATGGGGAAAATAAAAAGGACAACAAGTGATGAGAAGGATGTGGAGAAATTGGAATCCTGGATACTTTTGTTCGTCATAAAAAATGGGGTAACTGCTGTGGAAAAAAGCATAGAGGTTCCTCAAAAAATTAAAGGTAGAACTACCAAATGATCCAGTAATATCACTTCTGAGCATTTATCCAAAAGAATTGAAATCAGGATTTTGAAGAGATATTAGCATTCTTTATATTCATTGCAGCACTCTTCACAGTAGTCTATATAAGGAAACCTAAAATCCATGGACAGAAGAATGGATGAACAAAATGACACACACATATATACAATGAATGTCATTCATCCTTAAAAAAGAAGGAAATTCTGCAACAGTTGGGTGAGACACTATGGACGAATCTTGAAAACATGATATTAAGTGAAATAATCCAGTCACGGAAAGATAACTACTGCATGATTCCATTATATGAAGTATCTAAATTAGTCAAATTCATAGAATCAAAGTATAGAACAGTGATAGATAAGGATGGCGGGAAGGAGAAATGGGGGAATTACCAATCAATGGGCATAAAGTTTCAGGTAAGCAAGATGAATAACTTCTAGATGAAAAAATTCTACTATACAACGTTGTACCTAGTCAGTAATATCATACAGTACAGTTAATTATTTGTTAAGGGTGTAAGTCTCATGGAGTGCTCTTACCACAATAAAATAAGTAAGTTGTTGCCCAGAAACTTTTCTCTATCTTTTCAAGCTCTCATTATGAGTTACATTTGGGTAGCTTGAAATATAATGTCTACCTGCTGCTTAAAGAGAGTATAAAATATTCTTGGGTATCTCTTTTAATATGGAAAATAGAAACTAAGAATCTAATAGTAGACTTGCATCTTTAAGACCATTTGTTTTAATCTTCTACTGAATGCAGTCATTCTCTTCATAATTTCATTAACAGAACAGCATCAACAATATGAGTAATAATGTGATGAAATTAAAGGTGAAAATTCAAATTGCTTTCAAATTGAGCTTGCCTATATGTATATTATGGTTGATAACATAAATAAATATTTGATGTAAAGGTTTATGCATAAAACATTTTTTCTTTCATAGTATTTATAATACTTGATAAGGATTCAAAAATTAAAAGATGAACCAACATACCCAAAGTATTTATCATGATTTAAAAATTTAAGTATTTTTAGAGCAAAAGTCCCAAAATTCAGGAAAAAAATCACCATAATTTAGTATCTTATGAATACAAAAGAAGAGACATGAAAACTTCAAACAGCTACACAATATCACAAAAAAGAGCAGAGGATTAAAAATAATTAAGCCTGGTTAACTTTCCAGTATATGACACACTTCAGATTGTGTCTTGGGGAAGTCATTCCTCCCCTGCCTTCATCTTCTCATCTTTAAATCTGGAAATAATGATACATGACCTGTTGACGCATGAGCTGGTTGAAAGAAAAAATGAAGTATTGCTTCAGATGTCATTTGCATAATGTAAACAATCAACAAGCACAAAATGGTACCTCTAATTCTCTCTCCTTCTACAGATACTTTAATTTTAAAAAGAACACTATAGGGGCGCCTGGATGGCTCAGTTGGTTAAGCATCCAACTCTTGATTTCGGCTCAGGTCATGATCTCAGGGTCGTGAAATCAAGCCCTGTGTAAGATGTAAGGCTCCATGGACATGGAGACTGCTTGGGATTCTCTCTCTCCCTCTGCCCCACTCCCCGCCCCCTTCCCCCCCCACCCTGGCCGCTCACACACTCTCTCTCTCTTAAAAATAAAAATAAAAAAGTAATAAATAAATAGAGCAGTATAAGCAACAATTTATTCTCGAAGTCTTCTTATAACACCCCAGAATGTTCCATTCTATTTGATTTTTCCAATATTATTTTATTTGTTCATTTATTCAAAAAAATACTCATTTACGTACTGGTTTTTCGGTCCTCTGGCACGCTGTGCTCTAAAGTGCACTTGTTTGCCCACTTTTGGGCATTTGCTGCTGCTTCTTGGTTCCATTCCTAAATGTCACAAGAAAAAAATACACTTAAAGATTCAACTCCAACAAGCATATGGCTTATAATCTGATTGGTAGGTTGAGTTGCACTGCTTTAAACTTCTATATAGTATCTGATCATCAGTGCTATGAAAAGACCTTTTGGTTAGGGGTATATATGTGTGTGTGTGTTTATCTGCTCCAGTGCCAATATCCACATGAAGAGAAGTTCATAAATGATGTGTCTACTGATAGAACTATCTAATACAATATCTGACAATTTATGATAGTACAGGAACCACACGTAGGATTTTTAGTAATGGGGCTACTCTAAATACTCAAGGTGTGAAGTCTTCGTATTATATTTCCTTAGTAATAAGCAGGCCTAGATTATTCCCAATTCCACTTGCAGCCCGTTGCATTCAAATGGAAGATAGTCTAGTGTTTATGAACTATGCTATGGAAAGTGGGCTCGTATTTACCCACAGCACTCTTCGGGTCCTGAGTCTGAGCCTCGCGTTGTCATAGAGATTACTTAAACAGAATAAAATACATGAAAGAAAGGGACCTCCTTTATTTTAGACTAGGGCAGATAGTGAACAGAAGGTGCAATGGCTTCACCCTTGGTGTCTGAAGATCTGGATTCTAATTTTGCCTTCCCGACTTAAGAGCCCCGTAACCTTGACAGATTATTTAACCATTAAAAATGAAAATTAATTTCTGCATGCCCATAACACAGCTCAAATAAAATAGCAGAATGGAAGCAAAACTTTGTAATCACAAAGTTCTTAAGAGATGCCAGTTACCAGCTCCCTGCTCTTATCACTGCTGATTCCCACCATTAGCTTTTATCACTGCCTCTTACCATCTTTAGCATGTTGCTGGCAGGTGGAGAGACTGATTTCCTTAGTTCATTGTGTTTATTTACAATCTCTTTTTGGACTTGCTTTTGAGTGGCTAGCAAAGCAGTAAAGGATGGATCCTAAAGGGAGATAAAATTAGCATTATCTTCTTAACATTTGTTAAAATTGCATTTAAGAGTGAATAAATGAATTTGAGGGAACAAAGATCATCTTAAAGAGCATTCAGTTCAAATCAGTATTAGTTGTTAGGCATTGCCAATGAACCTGAGCCAAAGTTATGACAGATAGGAAAGAAATAATTTGAAGCTTTGAGAAGGAGAATGAAATTCATGCCATGACAAATTGAAATCTCCTCTTAGGCCACAGATGCCAATTTCTAGTTTCAAGGGAATTCTTACTGTGCCTTTTCTAGCCGTATGAGTGATAATATTTTATAACCATAAAGGTACACAAAAGAAACATTAGGACATATTCATTCACCTTCAATCAGGCTACAGCAGGTGGGATGAAAGTAGACCTCAAGTTTCATCCTAGACTTTAAGGAAAGTTTGACCTGATATGGTCTGTATTTAGAGAAATAATGTATTTAAAATGTATCTACGGAAGGGATGTTCAGGTTCAAAGTGCTTTCAGTGCTCATAAAATTATTCTTCCTATTATGGTAGATAGTATGATCTATTTTATTATATGATCTGATTTCATAGCATCACTCAAAAGGTACTTTTGCAATATTAAAAAATTTCCAAGGCCATTTAGAGGGAACAAAATCATCCAATTAATGGGCCCATTGCTGACTCTGTTCCTTTTTAGTAACAGAATAAAGTATTAAATCAGCTGCTGAAATTTTTGGTATATTTTATCATTGTGTGTGTGGCAGGGGGGAGATGTCTACCCTGGAGGTAGAGTAGGGTGTGTGAATTGTTCTCATAAGGTCTAAGATATTTGATGACTTAAAATTACACATGAGTGTTAGGTTGTATGAACAGGACCAAGAGTTTAAAGTCTAAGTCTAAACAGGCAGGACCCTTTGTTGATTTTTCCTGACACATTGGGGTAAGTTATTCTCTCCTACCCCAATACTGAGGTCGCTCAAAGCCCTCCAAATAGTGCAAACTTAGGTTTAACCACATTTATTGCCATTATTAATTTATGCATCCATTCTCCTACTTGCTTTATGTTCCTAAGGACAGGGACTAATAATGAATTTCTTTTCTTTTTCTTTTTTTTTTTTTTTAGTGAATTTCACTGTACTCATAGATCTGGTACATTCCCAGCTACTAACGCCTAAGCTAGAAAGGATGCACATGTGAACTATTAGCAGTGGTCCACCTCTGCTGTACACTAAGACATAAAATAACATCCTTGGGTATTTCCTATTGACCCTCAAAAACCTGCTTAATAGAATTTCATTTCAAAACACATCAAAATTTGGTTCCTGAGAAAGAAGTAATTATTTCCTCCTTCTTATCCTATGTTTTGTAGATACAAATCCTACTGAAAACATGTCTTTGCTGTTTTTTAATGAGTTTCAAGAAAGCTTTTATTAGGTGGCAGGGAATATGAAGAGTGTTGAGCATAAAATGGATCTAATAAGGTATCTATCTATCCTTCAATAATTTATTTCAATTCTTTCTCCCTCTTCCTCTGCCCCTCCCTGTTTGTGCACTGTCACTCTCTCTCTAAAATGGTTAAATCAAATCTTAAAAAAGAAATTTATTTCGATAAACTATATGACATGAATAATAATTACAATAGCACATGATAACTGAAGTGATAGGTGGATTCTGCTAGATGTATAAAAAACAAGGGATCAATTCTTATTCAGGTTAGGAAAGCTTTGCAAAGGATGGTCTGGATTGAGGTTATAAAGGATGCATAGTGTTTTCTATTGAGAAGGTGCAGAAAAAACCATACCAGGAAGAAGGTATGTAGAAAATCTGATTAGCAAACATTTACCAGTGCAAAAGAGCAAAATATATCTCTCTTTTAAATAATTTTATAATGAAGACCAGGAGATGGACCAGAGAGATAACTGGGGATTGGAAAGGACCATGAAAAAAAACTTTAGGGGCTCCTGCGTGGCCCAGTTGGTTGTCTGCATTTGTCTCAGGTAATGATCCTGGAGTCCTAGGATTGATCTCCCTTGCAACTGGGCTCCCTGATCAGCGGGGAGTCTGCTTCTCCCTCTGTTCGCCTCCCCCCGCTGGTGCGCGCTCTCTTTCTCTCTTTCTTGCTCTCTCTCTCAAATAAATAAATAAATTTTTAAAAAAATCTTTAGGAAAGAGATTGGGAAAGCAACAAACTTTTAGAATAAGATCGAGGTGATGAATAAATTGTCTTCAGATTGAAAATTAATTATGGTAACATAATGACTATATTTCCGAATGCCACATGAGTTTTGACCTATTGCCTGAACTCGGATCTGTGGAGTCTTAGCTATTCTTGTATGCTCAGAGTTAAAGGAGAACGTGGAAATAGACAGCAAGACCAAACTTCGCATTCAGAGTTTTTCTGATCAGAAGATAGACACCTTATATAGATACATACCTACCCACCAAACATTTAGGAGAATCGTTGATCCTGTTCTTAGGATTATTAAAGTGAAGCAGCATATTAGAAATAATTAGAGCATCTTATTCTTTGTATATTAATTGTAAGACCATGAAAAAATCCGAATACTTAATCTCTTTACTAAAGTTTCTTTTTTAATTTAAAAAATAGGTATTATTATTCTTACACATGGACTATGAAAATAAATGTGGTGATGTATGTGAAGAAGTTTTGCTAATTTGAGATTATATAAATATATTGCTAATTTTATGTGAGGATCACATTGTAATGAATTAAATATAAGGAAATCAGTAAAGATCTTTGGACAGGGTGAGTTTCATTAGCTTTTAAACCTGTAGACTATTGCTGTCAATAGAAATATAATGATAGCATCAAAGGTAATTTTAATTTCTGGGTGGCCACTTTGAAAAAGAAAAAATAAACAGAATAAATTGATATTTATAATATACTTATTTATCTAATAGTTTCAAAATACTATGTTTTCATCATGCAGTCAATATTAAAATTATTAATGAAATATTTTACCTTCCTTTTTTACTAAGTCTTGAATTCTGCTTTGTAATTATGTGGATCTCAATTCTGACCATCTATATTTCCAGTGTTCAATACCCTCATGTGGCTAGAGGCTACAATACTGGTCACCACAGCCTTAGACTTAATTGTGTTAACTACTTGAGCAACCAATGAGGACTTTGTGATGTACCAGACTCTCTACTCCTTTTCATTTTTGAAAATTGATCTAATAGATTTCTGTTTATAGGTTCCTTTAGTTGTTCTGAAAATATTTTCAACCTCCACCATACCTGTCCATTTGCAGGAAAGAATGGAAGCAACACAAGAGCCAGGAACAGCAACTCCAGGAATAAGGCCATTGCTGGGAAAACAAAACAAAGGGAAAAAAGACCTGCATTGGATTGTTTAGTGTATGAACTTCTGAGGAATACAGGAGGAAAAATAAAACAAAACAATGTAGTGATCTCAGTTCCAAATTCATTAGTAATATAACAAGAGAAGATTTGTTACATGATGCCACTGGAATGATAATGGATTCACCCAGAAGCAACCCTCCAATGGGGACCTAAAGAACAAAAGGAAGTACCTGATTGAAGATTTTGAAGTACACCTATAAATGCTAAGTATATACTACCCAATTTCACTCTAGTTCCACATTCTTGTCTATGTAGTTGCTCTCTGGTTCTAGGAATGGGTTCTTCACATTGCCCATTCATAGCTCCCAACTGTTAGTAATACTGGGGTGCTCCTGTATTAGTTTTTGCTGGTTTCCGTAAACCCTTCTTAATCCCTTATAAATATACTGTCATTAAGATCTTTTCAAATTACTAATGATCATTTGCCATTTCTTACCTGCCATGAGTCTGGCTCATATACTTGACATTTCTAGAACCATAGGTTAAGTCCACTAAGAAGTAAATGCTTTTCTTTAATACTTTCAACCACTCTTTCAGCTACTCCCATGCAGCCAGTGTCCTCATTCATTCCCATTCAAACCTTTCCCTTTATTACAATGCATTAAATTCCTCCGCCCCCCCCCCCAAGGCAATATTCTCCTTCTGGATCTAAAAACAGAAGGTAGATTTCTGACTTTGAAAATTAGACTACCCACCCAATCTGTATCAATACCCTTAATAGGTTCACATCCTTGCCTCACTAATTTACCTTCTTGGAATCCTGAGGAAATAATAATATATACTGGAAAATTTTAGGCATACATTTTCATTACATTAATATTTATAAGGATAAAAATATTATAATTTATTAATGCTTAATTGTAGGGAGATAAAATGTTCAAATAAATTAGAATATATCCTCTTGTTAGAGTGTATTAGACATAGCAATGATGTCTCCAAGGGTGTTCTAACAAAAACAATGCTTATGCTTCAAAGTTAAAAACACAGTATATGGGAAATCCTTAGCTTCCTTTGTGGATGAATGTTTGTGCCCTCCCAAAATTCATATGTTGAAGCCCTAGTCCCCAGTGTGGCTGCATTTGTATTTTGGTTTCTAAGGAAGTAATTAAGATTAAATGAGGTCATAAGAATGAACCCTGATCCAACAGGATTAGTGTAAATATCAGGAGAGACGCCAGAGAATCCTCTCTCTCTCTCTCATCTCCATATGTCCAAGAAGATACCATGTGAGAACACAGTGAGAAGGTAGCTCTCCGCAAGCCAAGAAGAGAAATCTCACCAGAAACTGACCATACTGTCACCTTGGTTTCAGACTTTGAACCTTCAGAACTGTGAGAAAATAAATTTCTGTAGTTCACACCACCCAGTCTGTAGTATTTTGTTATGACAGCCCAAGCAGCATCACACACATACCCAAATTTGGTATTTGAGGGTTAGGTTATTTTTGAATGAATCTGAAGGTCCATAAAATGTGCTAATTTGAAATCTTCTGGAGCTACAGCTCTGCATTCAGGGTGCACATGAGTGAGCAAGACACTGAGCAATTGGAGCGCCTGGGTGGCTCAGTTGGTTAAGTGTCTGCTTTCCGCTGGGGTCATGATCTGGGGTCCTGGGATTGAGTCCCTGCCATCAGGCTCTCTGCTCAGCGGGGAGTCTGCTACTCCTTCTCACTTTTCCTCTGTTCACTCTCCTTCTATCTCTCTCTCTCTCTCAAAAAATAAAAAAAATAAAATAAAAAGACACTGAGAGATTGGGTTACCTCTGATTTGCTTTTCTCATGGATATATGACAAAAACTATGATATAGGTATTTTAGACCAGTTTTAAGATAAGGTAACAGAAGAAATTTTATTGCATAGTGATACTGACAACCTCGATGTGTAGGGACATCTGAGAATGCTTACATTATTATTTTCCTGGAGAACAGTAACAGAAGCAGGACCTAATCCCCTCATTCCCTTCTCTTACAAAACTAACAATCAGACAAAAAGCCAGGCAAAGAACAAATGAGATGAAACAGAAATACAAGAGCATGAGTTTATCTTCATGTGGTGAGACATCCTTTTCTGCAATTTCTATAATGAATCTGTAGTACTATAATTACAGTAATCAGAAAAAGAAAAGCCCTTTATTGCAAAAAGATTATCAACTCTTGGGAAAGTGCTCTGATTTTGTCAAACCTATTAGTTGCTTTTTTGCAACCTGGTGTAGCCAACAGTTTAGGCATTATGGTGATCATGTAAGAGAAGAACAGAGGCACAGAGGTATTAAGTGACCTCCTGATGGTATCATTGCTAGGTAGTGTATGGCTAGGACAGAACCCAAGATTTCTCTTAACCTCAATATCCATTTCCCACTAAACTGTATTATAGTTTTTGGGGCATGGGGTTCCAGGTAAGAATGAAAGCATTTAATGAATTTTCTGTCTTGATAAAAAAAGTCATGCATTGCTATAAATATTTTTGAGGCTGTTAAATTGCTGGTAGGTTACTAAACACATTTGAGAAAATTAGAAAAAAAATTAATACAATATTAACAAGTCAATCCTTTTCTGTTGTTTCTCAAATATAAAATAAAGCTCATAAAACTTAGCTCAAACAATGTTTTCTTAGGATATCCATCTTGTGTTTAAAATATTGATATGATAACCTTTATATATGTAACTTTGTTGAAATAATGGAGAATTTTACTGGCATCCTAATGAGTTATTTTTCACAAAATTGACAACATATTCCTATAAGGGCTCTATAAGGGATACAAATTATACAAGTGTTTCTACAGTGTTTTGGAAATTTAAATCATTTCCCTAAAAAGAGTTATTTTGCTACATGCATGTCACACGTCTCTTCTTTTATAGGGTTTTTCTGCTCTGCCACTCATAATTTTCCCTTTTCCAAGAGATCAGTGATTTCTCATAAGTGTGACTAGAGAAAAGTCAAAGGGATTTCAAAGATTTACAAATCTAAATGTTGATGGTTTACTGCTAATTATAAACAGAAGAGGAAATTGTGTCTTTCTGAAGCATAAATTTATATATATAATTCTTCTTTAATTTTAGGACCACCCTAAGTTTGAAACACTCACTTGGAAAAAAATAAGTTGTTTTCTCTAATGACATCATATCACTGCTTATTAATTAATGAAAAACATATACTTACAAAAATTATACAAGCATATCTTGCCTGATAAGTCTATTTTATGGAAACAAGGATTTTTATAATCAAGTAAATTTTATATCAAGACTGTAAGAATAATTCAAAATTTTAAAAAAGAATAATTCAAAATTAGAAAATCTATTGGTCATATTCAACACATTAATGGATAAAAAAAAATCATGTGGCAAAATATGTTGTGAAATTCAACCCCTAGTATAGTTAAAAATAAGAAAAAGGAGAGTAGAGATTATTAATTTGATAATGACAATATAACCAAATATCTCTAGTAAATATAGTTATTGGAGAAATTCTAGGTGCATTCATTTAATATTGAGAACAAAAAAAGAATGACCAATGTCACTGGTACTGTTCAACATCATATTGGAGAGGTCCCGATCTCTCCAATAGGAAGAAAAGAAAAAAAATACATATTTGTAAGTCTCATAAAGGAAGAGATAATATTAGTGTTATTTTAAAATGATATGGCCATTTACCTAGAGAATACACCATAATCAAAAATTTGCAAGATGTGGGGCACCTGGATGGCTCAGTCATTAAGAGTCTGCCTTCGGCTCAGGTCATGATCCCAGACTCCCGGGATCGAGCCCCGCATCAGGCTCCCTGCTCAGCAGGAGGCCTGCTTCTCCCTCTCCCACTCCCCCTGCTTATGTTCCCTCTCTTGCTGTGTCTCTCTCTGTGAAATAAATAAATAAATAAATCTTAAAAAAAAAGTTTGCAAGATGTAGTATCAGTCTATAAAAAATACCATTGCCATATACTAGCAACACTCAACTAGAAAATAAGATTAAAAAGAAAACACAAAGCTCACAATAGGACAAAAAATATAGTTTCTTTATGAAATAACCAAGAATAAAAAGTCTTTTTTGGAGACAATTTTATAACCCTAGTAAAGGGCATAAAAGAAGATATACATAAGTTGAGAGATTTTCATGCTTTTAAATGGTATGTGTTAATACAATAAAGGTATCAATACTAATTAAATTAATATGAAAATTCTTTATAACTCTAATAAAAATTCTGATTGGCCCATGAATAACTGAATATACCTTTTATAAGAAGGATTAATTTGGGTATCTTTTCATATTAGTTATTAAAATAGACTTCAACTTGTGTTGACAAAATTTGGGTAATATACTAGGAATGGATAAATGGGACAATGAAGGTAAATAGAAAATTTAATAAGAGACAGACCAAACAAGGTAGCATAAAAAAAACATTAGAGGAAGAACAGATTGTCTAGTATATGGTTTTGGGAAAATTACCTTGCTATGTGGGGAAAATTAAAACCAGATCCTTCTTAAGCATTACCTATAAAGGTGAATGTAGAGGGATTAAACTTATAAATAGATAAAATGCTTTACATTGCAAGTCTTCAGGGCCATATCCCTTTGCCTTTAAGTGAGCCATATAATAATGCCATCATATGGTTATTCTGGGTTTTGTGTGAAGCACCATGTCACTCTTTACAGGCTCGTTAAAACTCCTAACAATCTAGACAGTACATAATATTACTCAATGCCCCACATTACAGATCTGCAGTGCCAGGATCAGATATTTGACAATGAAATGCCATTTGCTTGCATGCAAAAGAACCTGGGGATAAGCCCAGACAGTTTGGCCTCAAAGCCCTAGTTCCTGAAAGGAGGGAATGTAAATGTTTCAAACAATTAGGCCAGAAAAAATGCCATTAAAAGCATCAACACAGGGGCATCTAGGTGGCTTAGTCAATTAAGTGTCCTACTCTTGCATTTGGCTGGGGTCATGATCTCAGGGTAGT